GAAAAGGGTAGGTTTGTATTATAGATTTATATGTATGATTTTTTAAGGAGGTGCCCGGTGATACCCCAACTGCACAAGACGGGATGGTTGAGTGAGGAAGGGAAGTAGGAAAGAGGGAGGAAGGAGGAGTGGTGGTAGAATGGGAGGAGGAAGGAGTGGTAAGTGGAAGAGGGTGGTGCGGGAGGGGGACACCGGGCACATCCGTGAATGTTTTGTTTAGTTTTATTCTCTTTGGTTGATATTGTGATAAAATATTTATGTTTCTGTTTTTTAAATGAAAAATAATAAAAATTTATTTAAAAAAAAAAAAAGAAGAAGCTTCTTCCCCACCATCCAGTCAGAGCTGAAGAAGCTTCTTGGATGAGAAGCAAAACATCTTCAAAGAAAAACAAAGTCCAGTTGCCTTGTGAAAAAGCACCTTTGAGAGTTCCAATTATCAGTCAATTTTGACACAAAACCTTCAGGCCTCTGCTAAAATGCTAAAGATGAAGAATTTCACCTTTTAACATGACAACGACCCAAAGCATACCTCCAAATCAACAAGAGAATGGGTTCACCAGAAGAAGAATCCAATCTGCGGTCTGACCTGAAGAGGGCTGTGCGCAGGAGATGCCCTCGCAATCTGACAGATTTGGCACGCTTTTGCAAGGAAGAGTGGGCAAAGATTCCCAAGGCAAGATGGGCCATGCTGATGAGCTCCTACTCCAAGAGGCTAAATGCTGTCATAAAATCAAAAGGTGCTTCAACAAAGTGTTAGTTTAAGGGTGTGCACACTTATGCAACCATATTATTGTTTTTTGTTTTTATTTTCCCCCCTAAAAATTTCAATTAGGGAGGTCAAGACCTGTGGGGAACCATTTGGGGTTAAAGCTGGCCCAAGGACTCTGGGGGGACCCCAAGGGGCAGGAAACTGAACACAGGGTGTCTCTGGGTGGGGGAGGCCTGGGGCAGGCAGGCCTGGGCCTGCGCTAGGCATCCCCTACCCCTGAGGCATACCGTGCTCTACTTAATAACCCACATGTTTAACGGCCATATCAGGAGAGCAGGGGGTGGGGGTTGTTAAGTGAAGCCATCTTGCATAATGGCCATCACCACTTGCGACCATAATTGGCAGGCTTCATTATGGTTGTATGTTGAGGACTACCTTTATCTTAAGAAGCTAGCATGACTAATGTGTTTAGAATGTGAAGAAAATATTTTAAAGTAATAACATGCAGTGCTTACTGTATTTGGGCAATGTCTTAAGGAGAGTAAGTACTGACAACTTCCTCTGTCACTTCTTTAATAGTACTTTGATTTCCAGATGCATTTTTCCATCATTCAGTCTCCATGCTAATAAAATTTTCATCTGCTTGATTTCTGTATGTAAAGCTCCTGCTATAGGAGCAGAATTGGCAAAATAGTTGGCAGCCTTAAAATTATTTAATGCATACTATATCTTTCAAATTATAAAATGATATGACTGTAACAACTGACTTGACAACTCTTTAATGCTGCTTGATTGTTTCTGATGTCTGTTTTGCCCAATAGGGGTGTACGTCCTTTTGGAGTCTCATTGTTAATATGTGGATGGAATGAGGGGCGACCATATTTATTCCAGTCTGATCCATCTGTAAGTATTTAAGATTGGACTTCTTTATAGGCTTATATAAAAACTTGGTATAGCTATCTGCATGAAAGATTTATTGTTTTACTGCAGTACTATTTTTAAAGGCATATACAGTGAGGGGAAAAAATAATTTGATCCCCTGCTGATTTTGTACGTTTGCCCACTGACAAAGAAATGATCCGTCTATAATTTTAATGGTAGGTTTATTTTAACAGTGAGAGACAGACTAACAACAAAAAAATCCAGAAAACACATTTCCAAAAGGTTATAAATTGATTTGCATTTTAATGAGTGAAATAAGTATTTGATCCCCTATCAATCAGCAAGATTTCTGGCTCCCAGGTGTCTTTTATACAGGTAACAAGCTGAGATTAGGAGCACTCTCTTAAAGGAAGTGCTCCTAATCTCAGCTTGTTACCTGTATAAAAGACACCTGTCCACAGAAGCAATCAATCAATCAGATTCCAAACTCTCCACCATGGCCAAGACCAAAGAGCTGTCCAAGGATGTCAGGGACAAGACTGTAGACCTACATAAGGCTGGAATGGGCTACAAGACTATCGCCAAGCAGCTTGGTGAGAAGGTGACAACAGTTGGTGCGATTATTCGCAAATGGAAGAAACACAAAACAACTGTCAATCTCCCTTGGTCTGGGGCTCCATGCAAGATCTCACCTCGTGGAGTTTCAGTGTCCATGAGAACGGTGAGGAATCAGCCAAGAACTACACGGGAGGATCTTGTCAATGATCTCAAGGCAGCTGGGACCATAGTTGCCAAGAAAACAATTGGTAACACACTACGCCATGAAGGACTGAAATCCTGAGGTGCCTGTAAGGTCCCCCTGCTTAAGAAAGCACATGTACAGGGCCCGTCTGATTTGCCAGTAAACATCTGAATGATTCAGAGGAGAACTAGATGGAAGTGTTTTGGTCAGATGAGACCAAAATCAAGCTCTTTGGCATCAAGTCAACTCACCATGTTTGGAGGAGGAGGAATGCTGCCTATGACCTCAAGAACACCATCCCCACCATCAAACATGGAGGTTGAAAACATTATGCTTTGGGGGTGTTTTTCTGCTAAGGGGACAGGACAACTTCACCGCATCAAAGGGACGATGGACAGGACCATGTACCGTCAAATCTTGGGTGATAACCTCCTTCCCTCAGCCAGGACATTGAAAATGGGTCGTGGATGGGAATTCCAGCATGGCAATGACCCCAAAAACACGGCCAAGGCAACAAAGGAGTGGCTGAAGAAGAAGCACATCAAGGTCCTGGAGTGGCCTAGCCAGTCTCTAGACCTTAATCCCATAGAAAATCTGTGGAGGGAGCTGAAGGTTCGAGCTGCCAAACATCAGCCTCGAAACCTTAATGACTTGGAGAGGATCTGCAAAGAGGAGTGGGACAAAATCCCTCCTGAGATCTGTGCAAACCTGGTGGCCAACTACAAGAAACGTCTGACCTCTGTAATTGCCAACAAGGGTTTTGCCACCAAGTACTAAGTCATGTTTTGCGAAGGGGTCAAATACTTATTTCACTCATTAAAATGCAAATCAATTTATAACTTTTTTGAAATGCATTTTTCTGGATTTTTGTTGTTGTTATTCTGTCTCTCACTGTTAAAATAAACCTACCTTTAAAATTATAGACTGATCATTTCTTTGTCAGTGGGCAAACGTACAAAATCAGCAGGGGATCAAATAATTTTTTCCCTCACTGTATATGGATAAGTTATGGTTAAGAACTCTAGGATAAAATGTTCACAGTTACTAGGACAGCTTGGCTGATGAGCTTTAAAATCATATGAGGAAACCTACTAGTTCTGAGTAAGAAGGGCATGTTCAATATCCTGCTTTCAGTGCTGTTTGACCTTTTATTTCAAGATTCACCCAAAGAACAACTTTTGAACTTGTAGGTTCCATTTAGTTAACTTGGCTAATAGTTGTTGCTATTACCATGATTTTTTGAAATTTTGCCATAGCAACTTCCATATTTTATATTGTCCAAAGAAACTCACTTTAATCTTTGTTTCTGGGTTCTTATAAAATATATCTTCTCAAGAGTGTTTGTGACTTTGTAACCCCTTGGGTGATTTAATTGATAATTTGTTGTAAAGTATATGTAAGGACCCACCCCACTTTGCATCTTAAGAAGACAGAACTCTTGGAATATTTCTTCCAACAGGCATCTTTATTAAGAGAAAACTGGTTGCAGGCATTCTAGACAGGACTTGGGGTTCAAGCTCTCCCATTCAAGGCTTTAAGGGATCCCCCAGTAGCCCCACCCCATCACCCCCTTCTTCCAGCGACAGTTCCAGGCATTACATTCCCACCCCCTTTTCCTCACTGCCAGGAGGAGAGACTTCAGAAAGGATTACATGAAAGGTAATGGCCCCAATTGTTATTGTTAGTCCTTTTGGTGATATCCACATCCAGTCCCTTTGAAGTATACTGAAGGAAGTGAGGGCCATAAAGCCCCTTTGTTCACCCCCTTCCCTTCATCGTATGACAGAATCCAGAGAAGGCAGAAATGGGGTTTTCCATAGTTGAT